AAGATTTCGAAAAAAAGTTTTATAAAACAAACTGTTTACAATGATCTTTTGAAATGTTTATTTATACCCAAGAGGAAATCATCAGGCTCGTTTTCTTCGAAATTTATTTTTTGAGTAAAACGACATTTCATTTTAATAAATTAAAATCTTTTCTTTTGTAAATCGTTTAGTAAAATAAAAAGATACCATTGAATTAAAAAATTATTCTTTTTATTCAGATTTTAGTTATTTTGATTGTATGAATTTATCGGTAGTCAAATTCTAAATCTTCCTAGGCAGAATTGGAATTAAAGTTATGACTGATAAATGTTTAGTCGAAATTAGAATTCTAACTTTACCCGGTCAAAATTAGAATTCCAACTTTGCCTAGGCACATTTAAAATTTGCCTGAATTCCAATTTTGCCTACAACATATATATTCATATTTATAAACGAAAAGAATAGATCAGTGAAAATAAATATGAAACATTCATCGGTTGAATTAAATGATTTACCTGATGAGATTATTTTGATTATTTTGAAAAAATTGTACAATGTCCAAGTACTTTATTCTTTAATAGGCGTTAATAAACGACTCAATACAATTGTACATGATCCAATTTTTACAAGTCACTTAACATTGATGAGATGTTTCTCACGTCAGTGATGCTCGTTAAGAAAAAATAATTTTTGTTGGCAAAAAGAATGTATGCCCTTCTTCATTATCTGATCCTAATATAAAATAAATTTAAAATCTTTTCGATTTATTCTTTGAAAAAAAAAATAAAAATAGATGCCACTGGTGAGAAGAAGATCTGCTATTAATTGGTAGAAAGAAATGTGTTTTACTTCTTCCGACAATATACTGTCAACTCATTTTCTGATAACCAAATGAAAATTTATTTCTCCAATTTTGATTTTTATATAAGTATGTACACAGTTACCAAAAATTACACAACTTACTAGTCATTGCTTACGTTATTCTTAAGTTTTATTCCACGATTTGTTCTAATAATGGTTTAAGAGTAAGGTATAACTTATTCATGAATAAATAATCAAGATTTTTCATCTTTTACACTTTTCCTACGAATTAGATACAATTTTCTTAGCTTTTATTCAGAATAATTTTTTTTGTCTCTAGATAAATGTATAGTTATCACAGTCTCCATAGATCCATTTGTTATTACGACTGCTTATACCCGAATGATTACTAGAACATAATTTTTTTTCTCTGTTTTTGATGTTCTGTTTTCTCTACATCTAAATTGTTTGATTAGTTCATTCGAAATGACCGATGATTCTCTTAATTTTCAAACAAAGAACACTGATTGATAAGGAAGAAGAGATAAAATTTGATTCATTTAAAATGAAGATGATCTATTAGTAATATGTAAGCCGTCTCTTGACTTAACACAACTCAGAACATGTTAAACTTTAAACAAAAGAATAGAATAAAAAAGTAACTCTTTTTCAGCAATTTAGAGGTTTGACAAATTTTCTTTGAAATACAGTATTTGTTTAATTTTTTTTGGTGCGATCTATTTCTTCTTCCATATCTTTCTGAATCAAATGAACACGACTTCAATTTTTTTTCATAATTTATTCACAATAGCATCGAGAATTAAATCTCATAATAAAATTTCATGTTCACGAGTCATATCTAACACCTACTGAGATGTCAGCCATAGATTATAGCAGTTCACTGAACAATAGAGAAATCTGTTGAATGTCCTTCTTAAAAAACATACAAACAGTCTTATAAGAGGGCACATCGAAAAAAATAAAATTGTTGTACAAAGAAGAGAACAAGTCAAACAATGTGCTGAACATTGAGAATGCTTGTGATAGAAGTGTTCATATTGTTAGTTAATAAGGTGATTTTTACACCCTATCTAAAGTACTCACAAATCAAAATGTTAGAAGTTTTTCGTCATAGTTGGATATAGCTCATCGAGTTATGCGAGACAAAAGCTATCTTTCAAATTCAAGACAGTTACGAAAATGAAAATTCGAGATCTCTTTCTTATACAACTTGACAAGCTCTACTCAACTATAAGGAAAATAGTTGTGACAGTTTTTACATCATTATAATGATTACTATTTTATAGACATTTTAATGCCATTTTACCATTTAAATCCCTGTCTGGGTCGTTCAGCATTGTATATATCTGCAGTATTATGATATCAATTACTATGTGTGCTGACATTTCTAAGATATACATCTATCTATATTTTTGTAAATAATCAAATGTTCAATCTTCTGCAAAACAGATTCAGTCGTTCTCTATCAAAACAACAGAATATATTTAGAAAATAGCAAGATCCTTATCGTCTATGGTGCACTCGTTATATTTCGATCATCTTCAAGACATCGGATTAGTTAACGAGTCTTGTCTATTATGGATAGATTTCTCCGCCATTCTTCTATCATTATCAAGTGCTAGTTTGAGACTTTGATCGTATAACCGTTTGGTTTTTATTTCATAGTCATGAATTCATAAATCTTGCATTGACTGACGATTCTAGGTTTAACTCAGTATATTCTTTCATGGGTGAACCAACTTATTATGTCACCCACAATACTTTTAGTGATTTTTCAAGATGAACTGTATCTTCTCGGTATATGATAAAGTCATGTATTGTTAACTATTCTCTTCAGTATGATCTAGATACTTCTCCGATGAGAAAATGTGCTAGACTTTGGTCACTATAAGATATGATAAATGATCACAAGAGAAAAAGTAATGCTAATGTATTTTGAAAGTCAATTTTGCTTCACTTTTCAGAATCAGTTCTGAACCATCTATGTTTTAGGGTGTATCAGATCATGATTCATCGTCAACAGATAAGCGATGCTTTTTTTTTAATATAAAAATATGTTACGTGAGAAAATAGAAAGAAGAGAAAACATCTTATCTTTAATATGCAGCAAGAATGAGGCTAACATTGACGCATTTTATTTGTCTATATCTCTATGTATTCACACCATATATTCACTAATTTCAATCTGTCCTCTATATTCTCGTACATAGATACAATTTTTATCGTCAAACCATTCAATACACATGGGACAGCCACAGCCAAAGCCAAGTATTGAATCAAAATGCTGTATATGTAATAAAGAAACAGTCGGCTTTACATGTAGAGGCTGTTCTAAAGATTTTTGTTTCGATCATTCAACAGAACATCGTCAAATAATCATTAAGCAATTCAATGACATTGAAAATGATCGTAATAAATTTCACCAAAACCTTGTTGAACAAAAGAAAAATTCAAGAAAGCCTCCATTTATACAATATGTGAACTTATGGGAGCAAGAGTCGATTCAAAAAATTAAAAAAACAGCAGAAGAATGTAGACATATATTGATTGAACAGAATATGCAACATTTTACGAAAATGGAAGATAGATTATCTCAATTAACTGAAGAGTTAAAGAAAATTCGTCAAGAAAATGAATTTAATGAAATCAATATAGTTAGATTCAAAACACAATTGACAAAATTAGGAGAAGAGCTTGTGCAATTGCCAAATGTAACAATTAAGAAAGAGAACACATCGTTTATTGAAAAATTTTCAGTTGTTGTTTCATCCGAAACTCGTCAAGAAAAGAAATCAAACAAAACAGATTTGAACAAAAATCAAACGAAGTTAACAGAAGATTCAAATCCAATTGACTCTGCACTTTTAATAAATATTAGTTCCACCCATTTATCATCTGGTGAGTGTAGTTATGACATATACATTGGTAAATTAGTTTTGCTATACGAACACGAAATTTTTCCAGGAGACTTGACTACACACTCACTATAGAGAACTATTGTGTTTTTATCCATCAATATTAGAAAATCATATAGTATTAGTAATATTTTATTAGAGAGATCCTGTATTAACAATACGATAATTTCATTCGAATTCTTCTCTATAAAATTTTTTCAAAAATAGATTTTACTAAATGTATTATTTTGACCCAAAATTACTTACATATGTTCTAACCTCCTAGAAGTTAACTCGTTGTCAATCGCATAAATGTAGAGTATTATAAGCATATGTAGAATTAAAAGAGCAGTTATTGCTACTTGTACTATATAGGTATCAGATCAAAATACTCATATATTCACATGTGAAACATCGTTTTATGTATAAATATTAAGGATTATTATTGATTGAATTCGAATGAAATATGTTTCGAATACTCTTTATTACTTGTACTTTTCCATGTATCTGTTTACTAGCAAACATCTGGAGCAGCTACCTGTTCAAAGTCTTAATGGTTGAAATCTAATCTGATTGTATAATTTTTCTTATAAGCAAGACTCGTACGAAGTTAGTTTTACTACAGTTGAGTGATTCTAATGCCTACAAACTACAGCATGAGAAATCAGAAAGTTTGTAGTCATGCATTTCGATGGAGTGATAACAATCATTTTCCAAGTAAGTGTATAGTTTAGATGCCTAAATATTTGAACATCTATCAATATTTTTAAAAAAAATCGTGGCATATTCAATGAAATCGTTTTTCTCTGTTTTTTTAAGAACATGACACTAGTAGCAAGACTGATCAAAAGCGTCAAGAATCTTCTGATGTACGAGATCAATCTGATAAAATTGATAATGAACATCATGTTACTTTGAGTTCAAATGTTGAGAATTATGGTATTGAATTGTTATCGTCAAACAACGAAAACGATGTCAAAAGTAAAACAACTGAAGACAATGATTCTGACGGATCTATAACAAGTATTACTGTTCTGAACTCAACCATCTGTACTGATATTAACACAAGTGATAGAATGCCTCTAGGTAAACAAACAAAAATCGTTATGATCTAAATAGAAAAATAAATCGTTTATTGAAGGTAGTCAAGTCGTACGTAGAAAGCGAATCAGTTCAACTGCTCATTGTAAGATAAAGCTAAATAAATATGAGAAATTCACTTGCGTTTATCTTTAAGATACACGAGGTAAAAATAACAATTGCACTACTGATACGGTTTTGTCGTCAAATGATTGCAAACCATCGATGTTTGACAAGCCATTCAATCGGAAAGATCAACATGAAAGTAATTGTTACAATGAAAAGACCAGTTTTAGTCGTTCGAAAGGTGATGTAGCAAGTCAAATCAGCAATGTTAATGATTCTGACGAGTCTCGTACAAGTACAACGTTTCATAACTCATCGATTCGTGCTGGTTTCACTATTGGTGGTCGCATGCATCCAGGTAAATCATAATATACAGTTCTTCGTAGCAAAACAATTTGTTAAATAAAGGTCTTCGAGGTCCATACAGAGGACAATCTAGATCAGGTGTTCATGGTAAGATAAATTTAAATAGGTAGAAGACACTATGGATTTTATTTATCTGCTAGATAATCGTGGTGGTAGTCGTGGTAGAAGTAGCAATAGTAAGTATATTCAAGTTATTTAAATAATATATATATATTCGTGTTATTTGTTTAGGATGTTTCAAATGGTAAGCCTTATTTTTAAATTATATGTTTGCATTTTGCTGAATTATTGCTTTTTAAAAGTAATAAACCTGGTCATTTTTGTCGTGAGTGTCCTGAAGAAAGAAAACCTCGTAGTATGATTTATTTAATTTGTTATATTTTATAATTCTGTATTATTTTTTAATATCTTTTAGATAGCGATGGCTTCCGCAATTCTAATGTTAGAAGAAATAATAATCGAGTAAGTATATATTTAATTTTTGAAAAGAAAAATTCAATCATACATATAGGTTTCTGATGATATTTTCAATCAACGTAAATACATATAAGAATTACGATAGAACAATAATCGAAGTCATTTTTTTTCTATAGCTGATGATCATCCAATGGAACATTATATTTCATCACCTGCACCGACAACTGAAGATGATATATTTATTGAAGCAATAAAAATGGATGAAGACTTTGAAAAATATTCTATAATACAAATTCGTTCTACACCGTTAGGTAATATAGTATTCTTTATTTTATTTTTAATATTTCATTTAACGATGACTTTTTTTATATTTCATTAGACAAAGTGAAACCAATTAAATTAAATGAAGAGGCTAATCTTGACATACAAGTTCTATCAAATATTCGTCTTGCTCACTTTGAAGATCTAACAGCTATTCAACGTTATATACTACCTTGTATTCGACAACGAGATGATTTATTGGTTTGTGTTCAAATTGAATCTAATAAATCAGTAAGTTTTATTTTTTAACGACTATTCATTCTTAATCAAACGATTATTTAGGCTCCTTTTATTTTACCAATTATTTCAAATTTACTCGAATGTCATGCCAATGAATTATCTAATAGAGAATATCCGCCGTCACCACTTTGTCTTATTGTATCACCTACATGTGAACTTGCTTTAAAAACAGAACGTGAAGCAAGAAAAATCACAGATCGAACTGCTGTGGTACCATGTAAGTTACTTTATACACGTACAACGGAAACATGTATTCTTGTAAAATGCTCCAGTGATTATTATTCGTATCTGCATCGAATTGTTTCTTTTTTTGTTAAAAGGTTCTGTTGCTGATGGTCACGATATGTTTACTGCATCGGATCGTCTTCAAGAAGGTTGTCATATTCTATCTGCAACTATCGGTCATCTTAAAGACATAGTGAAAAAAGGCCAAGTAAAATTATAATTTAGTGGACTATTTTTCAAAGCTTTACAGGATTCTTTATTTCAGATTTCACTAAAAAAAGTGAAATATCTCGTTATAGATGAAGCTGACCAGTATGTAAAAACGACACCGATGGTATTGTATCTAATTTCAATTGCATGTTTTTGTTTTTCTAAAGAATGTTAGATGCAGATTTGGAATCTGATATACGCAAATTAGAAAGTCTTGGTTTATCATCAAAAGAAGAACGTATTACATGGATATTTTCCGCAACATTTTCTAATGAATTACAACAATTAGCAAAATATTTCCTTCGTGAAGATTATATTTTTTTCTATGATAGTACGAATGCTGATGTAGCACATACAATTGAAGAAGTACCACTTACAAAGAAACAAGATCGTCTTTTTCAATTACTCGAACAAAATCTTAGTAGGAATCATTCTTAGAGAATTTAGTGAGAAAATTTTCTTATTTCATTTTTTGTTTAGAATCTGGATGTTGTCTGATATTTGTTGAAACACAGCAATCAGCTGATGATGTTGGTGTATTACTTTCACAAAAAGATTTCATGAATATAATAATCCATGAAAATCAAACACATCAACAACGAAATGAAGCTCTAGAACAATTTACAAATGGAAAATGTCGAATACTTATTGCAACATTTGTTGCTGCTCATGATTTATATTTTCGTTTTATTGATTTTGCTATTAATTATGATTTACCAGATACAAGTGATTTTTATAATCAGCGTATTGGTCGAACAGATAGAATGAATCATAAGAAAAAGTAGAAATAATTTTGAAAATTGTTTTTTTTTTATAGGCCATGCTGGTCATTGGGGTAAATCTATATCATTTTTTGACCCGGATCGAGAGTCTGATAGAAAAATTGCTCTTGAAGTTATACTAAAATTATGCCAAGTATATTTTGTTTTGTAAATTCAACATGAATTTTCAATTGATTTCTGTCATTAGGCTGGTCAGGCAATACCAGAATTTCTTATAAAATATGTTGATGTTGGTACTATTGAATTTTATCATGATGACCATAGTTCGACGAATAGTAATGTAATGCCGGTTTTTGTTATCATTTCTGAAAGGTTTTCTGTTTTTTTTTTTCGTTTTTGTTCTAGGTTCACGTAGAAAATAATGATTTAGATCGTCAGCATCAAACAAGTGGTCCTATTGGTAGTACAGCTTCCACTAATGCAGCTACTGAAGATTGACATTAATGAAAATGAGTTGTTGTTCCGTTGCTTTTTCATGAACAGAGTATCGGGTTATAGAATTATGGTGTATATGAGACTTCCAGGATTCTATAAAATACAGACTAAAATCATATGTAAAATCATAAAATGGTTTTTTCAGTTTTCAATACAAGCATAGCTGAATGACAACGTCATCCGACATGATATAATCATTGACAATTCATTAACAATTATCTGTTTCGAATCATACGTTCAATACTGTGCTTGCTACACTTGGCATTATAGGATGTCCGGAAAGTTACTATAGATAAAAAAATTTGAATATTTCAATGGTGTTTGAATGAAATGGGTTGATTTTGTTTTGCTACTAATAGAGGAATGTTCCTAAGCCATATTCATAAGAATAAGATAGTCAGAAACTGTTTCAAAGTATCACTATTGACTTCGATAAGAAAATGTTCTCCTAGCCGAATTTCTGAAAAGGGTGTGGGTGTTGATGTGAATGAATAGAACATCTCACACCGACACCCACAGTCTTCTCTTGCTGGTATCGCTTCGAAATCCTCGCTCGATAGTTCCTATCCTCAATATGCAGTCAATGTTGCTAAGAAGGGCGTATATAAACGTTTAATTTGTTGATGTAGATCACGTATAAAGAAGCCCATTTTGAGAATAATGTTGATTTCTTTCAAGCGGAGCGCTCGATTCAGTGCTGAATAAATGAAACAGTCTTGTGTGTACCACTAAATAGCTTTTGTTTATGTAGCATGCAAGTTCAATTTTTTTAAATTCTGCAACGATACCGATCGTTTTGCGACTTGATAACAGATCATGGTGGTTTTAGAATCATAACGGGATGAGGATTAAGCATAAGTACGAGCTACTATAATCGATTGCAAATCTGGCTCAACACACATCTTGCTGTATCATTATGAATTGAAATCATCTGTTGAGGCTTTTTGAAAAGAAGTTCAAATCAATTATATATATAATAACTCAAATCGACTGATTTCAGAAAAGCTTTTCTCATTTCGAAAATCATTAGAAAAAGTACCCGATTCAATTTTGTTGAAAGATTTAGCGAAGAATCGATCAAGGTCAACTTGATTTACAACGAATAGAGATCTATATTCAACAAATATTCATAAGAATCTTGATTGAGTAGCAACGAACGATCACTTACAAAGATTTTCCTTGGCAATTAGCAATGCTTCAATATAAGTAAGGCGTGTTCTGGCTGTGCATGTATGTTTATTTCAAAATAAATGTCATTTATTCACTTCGTTCTGAATTCAAAATACTTTCAAATTTTTCGATCTAAATATAAACGAATGTTTAATCAATAAAACTGAGAGAGTTATTTTAGCAGTGTCAATAAAAACTTTCTTAGATTTGCGAGAGGCCACCGTCAACAAATAGTTCAATACCCGTCACGTAACTGCTATCGTCTGAAGCAAGAAAAACAGCGACTTTAGCAATTTCATCCGGTGTACCAATTCGATTCATAGGTGTTGCTGCTGCCCATTCGGCAATGAGTCGTTGACTTTCTTCTTCATCTTTTCCCATACTTCGTAATAATGGAGTATCGATTGCACCTGGACTCAAAGTGTTTACACGAATCTTCCGTTCTTTCAAATCGACAGACCAACAACGAGCAAAGGAACGGATTGCTGCTTTTGATGCACAATACACACTCAAATCAGGATCGCCTTTGTTCGATGAATTCGATCCGTTGAGAATAATCGATGCACCATCAACCAACAGTGGCAAAGCTTTTTGAATAGTGAATAAAACGCCTTTAACATTGACATTAATTACATTGTCAAAATATTCTTCACTAATCGTCCCAAGTTTTGCAAATGAACAAGTACCTACATTAGCAAAAATAATATCCAAACGACCTTTTTCTTTTTGTATGATACTGAACAATTTATCAAGATCAGTCATATTTGATGTATCACCTTGTATTGCAGTAACATTTTTCGCAGCAATCTTCTTCACAGCTTCATCAAGTGCTGTTTGTCGACGTCCAGTGATGAATACATGCTCTGCATTTTCGGCGATAAAACGCTGAGCAGTAACGAAGCCAATTCCTTCTGAACCACCAGTAATCAGAGCAACTTTACCATCCAATTTACCCATATTGCACTGATGCCTTGTTTCTATGTGATGTCAATAATGGAAGATCCATCTTATTTCTTTTTTTTCCTGCTCGATCAAAGACATCGTGTTTATATTTATTCACCAATAGCCGTTTTCATATTCTTCGACACGTGGTTTACTGCATGTTGATGCTTCATCTTTCTTCTCGTTCTACATACATAAATGAACGCGCATTCCTCTTTTTTTCCTAGCAAGCGCTTGCCCGACTATCTAGGCATAAAGAACACGCAAGTAGTGCGCCTTGGTTTTTCTGTCGGTATGTTTCTATTTCTTTCTATGGCATTTCTTCTTTGCTTCTCAACTAGTACCAAATAAGTTCTCGATGTCCTATGACGAAAAGAAGAAGAAAAAGAACGAGTTAGATAGAAGTCGTTGTCAAATAGATAGTGATTCTTGAATACGTTGGTGGAAGTTAAGAATTCAGCTCGTCTGACTAAATAGTTAAAATAACGCATTAACTATTCATCTGTGACGTGTAGTGCAAAACCTAATTTCATATCAAATTTCTGTTTTACTATTTCTGCAGCCACAACTCATTGTTTACAGCTGAAATTTTAAGAGAAGTTAGACAGACAATCAAAGCAGAGATGAGACTGGTCTATCGGCCAAAACCGGCCTACCTGTACTAAACAGGATGCGGATGATACGTCAGCTTATCGGAGAAAATCCGACCTACCGACAAATATCGATCTACAGACACAGGCAGAGGCTTAAAATGAAACCTTGTTTTACAGTGAACTCTTTTGCGGGCTACCTTCGTACTTTCATGCATACTGTCATAACGTTTTACCATTGAAAACAATAGTCTCATTGAGGACATTCTAGAAACTGTTTGTTAAATCAATTTCTGTGTGATCAGTGGGACTAGCCTTGATGCCAATTGTTTTTTCATGTGAATACCATCATAGAGTAGGAAAATAAAAAATATAAACCGGTATCGGTTCCATCTCTGCATCAAGGTATCTATACTATATATTTGAGACCAAACGAATCACATCAAGAGGAAAAAATAAGATGGGAATTTGTTTTGACCGGGGAATATGTCAACCAATTATATTGAGATAAAAAAAAAAGTTAGGAAAGATCAGTACTCTTCTTGATTTACACTTTTCACATGGGAAGAAGGTTCAGTAAGATAGGAATTCAAATCTATTTTTGGTGTATGAATGGACATTGATGACTTAACTGTTCTTATGATGAAAATCGACTTATAGTAAAGATTGCGATTGATTTCTCAACAAACCAATCGAATGAGTTTATTTTTGTTTCAATCATAATCGTATTTCTTAAAGACCTGATTGATTCAAATGCAAAATTCATTGAATCATTTTCATTTTCATCTCGATAATGTCAAGTGCACTCAGTGAACAGATAGTAATTTGAAACAATTTTCTTGATTGAAGTAAATCTCGTGTCTATGTCCTGTTCCATGAAATCCTGTAGAAACAACTAAAAATGTACAAGAAAATTAAAGCTCAAACTAACAATGTGAATCTATTGCTTCTACATATTGTAGCAATCACATTGCCTGTGGAATGATGAAAATAGCATGATTTCAACTCTCTAAATTTCGAACATACAAATGAAATGATTTAAGTCTACTGGTTCATCAACTTTGGTACCCACTGTACACCATTTCTTTGATGTTATTCTTCTGCTGGTTTCTTCAACATTTTCACTCTCTGTTATTGATATCGAAAACAAACTCGACAAACAAATAAAACTTTCATCAAAATTTATCGCAAATCATTTTTCAACGTTACAGTGTGGGTGTGAACTAGAATACATCTACACCTACAACCACACCCTATCCCTACACCTTTATAGACGTCATATTGCAATTGATACTGTTTCTAATCAAGTCTCGTTATTCATTGATAATGACAAAAGTCTATGTGTAAAATGATTAATCTTGAAATAATTTTTAATTTTATATCATTGATATAAATCTTACATTTTGTTTAAATTATACTATGATATTTCATTATATATATATATATATTTATTTTTCTATAGTGCAATATGAAATAGATCGTATTAGAAAAGAATACATTGGTTTACATTTACTTGTTTCTATATTCAAATTACAATCAACTATTTTTTTTTATCACTATCGAAGATTAACTTTTGTTTTCTATTTCATATTACAAAAAAAAATGTTTCTCTTTATAACGATGAAATCGGATTGCTTTGTAATGGAAATAGTCCAGTATCAGCTGCAGATGTTTTAATTAATTGTTGAATTTGTTTAAAGTTTGGATGATTAGCATCTCGTGTCAGTTGAAGTACAATTGATTCAAATGTTGTTAAAAAAGCACCTGCTTGACGCATATGATCAAATGCATACATTCTAAATCATTATCATTATAAAATTATATTAAAATAAAATAAGTCAAACTACCTATCAGTTAATGATCGAGATGAAACAGCATCAACAACAACATATACACGATAACCTTGTGATAGAAGATCAATCACGGTTTGTAATACACAAACATGAGCTTCGATACCACAAATAATAGCAGTATTAAAATCTATATAGAAAAAAAATAATAGATTCTAAATGTGCTATAAATATCCTTGAAAGAGTTTGAGTTCTCAGCTTATTGCCGTAGTTATGAGAAACTTTGCAGAAAGACAGGTCATCTCTCAAACTTTCAAAATAAACTATTAGACTATTAAATCTGTCTTTGTACAAAACTTCAAGTCGAAGATTGAAATTAATACATTCTATTAAAAAAAATATTATATCTTCATAGTATTATAAGTATATAATAGATTAGAGAACTTATTTTACTATTCATAAATAATAAAAATTTTATTAACTTTACCTTTTACTTGTTCTTTTATATGTG